ATTCATTATGTTCAATTTACTTTTTTTAATCCACCAAACCTTCTTATGTAAGAATATTTTTGTTTGCTGAGTACCTGTTGATGGGAACAAGAAACAAACAAACAAATAAAATATATATAAAATGATACAGATTCCTCTTGATGACAATTCTTTTTCTGGGGACCTTCAACAAAGCATGCCAACAATCTCTAAAGCACAATTTCATTCCTTCCAAAAAATTATTTCTCCAGGAACACTTAGTTAATGCTCTTCTTTCATACTCTAAATAAAATAGAATGGATAACTGTATAAATTTATTAATTTTTACCTACCTTTGAATACACTAATGTGATTTTTAGACTTTTACTGGTTTTCATGTTTTGTATCCCTAAATAATTCTCTCTATAAAATAATTAGCCACTTGCTGTTTGAAATTATTATCAGAGCTACTAAGGAAAGTTGCTATGAAAAACAAATTTTATGGGAGAACTACCCCTCCAGTGACAGCATCATGCATCAGTTGCTTTGATACTGAATTTTCTGCATTTGCACAAGATGAAAATGCATTTATAATGACACTTAAATGGTAACAACTATTTTGGAATGACCACATGTATATATGCAATTTAGAGGCTTTGTGACTGTTGCTTCTTTCTGTTAGAGGATTTCCATATGAATATGCAACATTCATTCTGGTCAGAATGTAAACAAGGCAATGCAATCTGAATTCAATTACTTCATTCATCTTTTAGAATCATTTTCAAAGTGTTCATTGATTCTAACTTTCTTCATTTCTGAAATGAAGTTCAATAAACCCAAGAAGCACTTTGTCTTCTAAAAGTGATACATTAGAAAATTCTTCTGTTGAATTTAATTAGGTGAGATGTCTGCAAGTGGATAATTAGTTCACTCAGTAGATGAATTAAAAACTGCTTCTCAGAAGGCATCTTTATTATATTTTCACCATCAAGTACCAAGAGGAAACTGTTTTTAAATAAATATTTCTAAATCTTCTCCTTCCATCTACTGATGTAATTTGAAATTAACAGTTCACCAAACAAAATTATCATCTTTTATCAGTAATTTATGTTTCAATAAAATATTTTCTACATTATTGGGAATTTTTAAAAACAGATTTTTTGATGAAAGATACCAAATTTATGTGGGTATTACTTGGAAATAGCATAAATATTTTATCCTAAAGAAGAAAACTAAACAAGTGCTATTAGGCACAGTTGATAAGAGTGAATTTTATTTTACTAACTTTATAGAACTAATACTCTTTCCCTAAAATGTGCTTTAAATAATTACATCCGCTGGGGAATTTGACTCTCAGCATTTGTTTTTCAGATCGATAAAATATAGCCATGGCTTATATTTACCACATACATATTATATTTCTGAGAGGTTAACTTGACATTCCTCAAATTAACCATTACCAACAAGGCAAGCTCACATTATAACTACCTCAGCTATCTATACAATAAAGTTGTACCTGATATCTTCATGAAATTATAAAAATATTTATGCCAGTTTTAGTTCCCCACAGTGAGGAAACAAAATAATAGATTTCATTTCTGGATTCCAGATTAAAGAATTACATAAAGAAAGTTATTTTTACTTCCACAATGGCATTTGAGACTTAAGCCTTTGCTTTTCTTGAAATTTTATTAATACCCGAAATCCTGAAGCTTTCACTACAACAGATCATAGCCCTGCATGTTTATGGGTTTAATATAGGCAATGTATATGTAAAAATATTATTTTGCACACTCAAGTGCACTTAAGTGCTATGTGATATATACTCCATATTAAATATTTATTATACTTTTATGAAGCACAATTATACATTTATATTTTTCATTAAATTGTAAGTAGTATTTATACAAGGGAAATAGAATATATTTTTCAAGTTCTAAGAGAAAGTTTCATGATGAGATAGTTGCTTTTTTTCTTTATTTAAATAATAGTGTAGCTCTAATTATTATTAATAATACTTCACACACACAAACACACAGTTTTAAAGGACTAAAATCATTCCTTAGCACTTCACATGGTATTGTTTTACCAAAAAACAATCCAACTGAATATTGATATTCACCACTTACAATATCCAGATGTTGCTTGGCTTAATCAGTGGCAGTTGACTGTCAGATTTCCAGTTCTTTCTGCATCCACAACATTGTTGCATAAACAAATTTGAAAGTAATGTAATTTTGTTTTGGATTTTTGATGCCTTGTCATTTAATTATAATGTGGAAAGGGTCTATTAAAATCACTGAAGGAAGTAAAATATACAATGTCAAGTAATTATATTATCATAGGAATATTTAGGGTAGTTGGGGAAAATTATTCTCTTTTAGATGTCTCTTCATTTCATTGGTATGAACAGTACAGAAAGTACTTTCTATAAGTTGTGTTTGGAATACGGTGTAAGCATATGTTACAAATTGGAAATTGATTTGGAAAAATGCACCAAGCTAAAGTAAAAAGCAATATCTTTTGTGCAACTATTATGAATATAATCATATCATCTACCAACATATGCCATTTTTGTTTTCATTTTTTGTGTTTATATTTATAGGTCTTTTATGTTGCTTTGTTGTGCTGGCTAAGTCCTCTAGTTCAGTGTTTTGCATAAGTATTGACAATAATACTTACCTGGATCTTCATTTTAAACCAGGAATGGGAAATTGTACCATTAAGTATAGCATTTATTGTAGTTTCTCTGTTGATTATTTTTGACTAGCAATAGAGTTCATTACTATTCGTACCTTGCTAAAAGTTATTGTTATGCCTGGATAATTTTATCACATTTTCCTATTTTGATAATTATTTTATTTTCTATTGCTTAATCATTTTATCTTTTACTTCAAAGAATCTCACAAATAATGTCCATAGTGTTGGCCTAAGGACCACACTTTGAGAAGCATTACTCAGAAATCACTTCAGTGAAGATTTTTGAAGTAGTAAACTTGCTTGGCTTTGGTTTATCTGAAAATAATTCTAATTTGCTCCATTTTTGAATGAGGCTTTCACTGGACTTTCAGTTCTAGGTTTAGATATATATTCTTCAGACCTTCACATGTATTATTTCACGTCTCAATTTTATTGATGTTTTTGAGAAGTTAAATGCCTAATTAATTTTCCTCGTTGAAAGCTGTATTTTTTTCTCAATGTTTTAAGAAATATCTCTTTGTATGTGTACTAATTTTCTCTTGCTACTGTAACAAATTACTGCAAATTTAGTGGCTTAAAAAAACACAAATTTATTATTATTATTTTGGACTTCTACAGTTATGTAGAAGTCCAAAAAAGGCCCTACGGTGCCAACATCAAGGTCAGCAGGGCTGCATTTCTTTAAAGAGGCTCTTGAAGACAACCTATTTTGTTGCCTTTTCTGGCGTTTTGAGGCTGCCAACATTCCTTGGCTTGTGGATTTCTTCCTCCATTGTCAGAGCAACAACAGTAAGTGTCACACCTCTCTTACTACAGCTAGGAAAGGCATTTGGGTTAGATTGGATGCTACTGGATAATCCAGGATAATTTGTCCACCTAAAAGGATTTAACCTTAATAGCATTTGCAAAATCACTTTGCCACATAAGGTAATATATTCACAAGTTTCAGTGATTAGGATACTATGAGAGCCATAAAGCCGCTTATCACACTATAGTTTGGCAATTTAAGTAAGGATTTATTCTCCTTTAATTGTGAAGTTTGGACTCTTATAAATGATTATTTTGTTAGTTTTGTGTTGAGAATTCTCATCCTATTTCCAATTTTCTTTTTTTATCCTTATAAAACTCCATTTATATTCTCATTTTTTATCACTTGTCTCTTAACTCCTCTTTAATATTTAATATATTTGTTTTTTTAATGTGTTCTGGTGTCTTCTACCTTTCTAATAATTTTCTCTTCTGCTTTACCTTTTCTATTATTTAAATTGCTTTTTCTATTTTAGAATTCAGCTTTATTTCCTGTTTAAAACACTTTTTTCACATCTACATATTTTTAGAATAGCAATTTTTAATGTTAATATTTGAAATAGTACCTTTTGTTTATTTAAATATCTGACACATTCATTTTATATTTTTCTATTAATTTTAATAGATTATATTTTGGGGGGTCTGATTCAGGTGGCTCATTTTGTACTAATTCATAATGCCTTGTGTGTTTGTATGCATGTGTGTGCACATTGTGTATTTGTTTTTGTTTTTGTTTTGATTATGAGCTTATAGCCTTAACCTGTGGTTTGAAGGTATGATCGGCCATATAATTTAAATTTTGTTTATTTGGGTGCTTGGCTGCACTCTCAATACTGGACTACTTTAAAATATATACTTTTGTTGAATTTTCCTTTAGTTTGGTATCTTCTAGTTTCAATATGGCAGTATGACTGTTGCTATAAACCCAAATGAAGATTACTGGTTACTTACAAGGTCTTAGACATGAGATTTTTCATTTATTCATTCATGTATTTGTAATTTCATACATACATTACAATGATCTATTGTTTTCTCTCTTTTCTCTGACATTGTTAGAAACTGATAGCAGGATTTTATTAGCTTTGTTCTCTGCTTTAAACTGCTTTTTGTGGTATTGAAATTACTTATTTTGAAAGATTAAACAAATCCAGCTTTAAAATTGAGAGTGCTACAAGCTTTCCCACTAAAGATTTCAAATCTCTTCAGCCTTAAATTAAAAGCAAAAACACCAATAATTGACATAGTAAATAAGACAAAAGCAAACTACCACTTCAAATAAAAACAGTGAATAATACTTAGTAAAAATCAATATAATTCAAAAATGGTATATGAATAAATTTTACCCCAACTTTATTTTTGTCAATTTTAGTATGCAAATCAAGGCTTTTGACTAATCTCATTGATAATAGAGACTAGAACTAGGGCTCACCAGCCCCCATTTGTCAAATTGTGAGGTTAACATAATAGAATATATTTTACAGAGAATTATCTTAACAGTGAAAGCAGTGAATTTATTATGTTACATTTCTTTCCAGATTGGATAACAAGATCCAAAATGAGGAAACAACGACTTATACTGATTCAAATGAAGAGTTAGTTCCCAAGTAGGGATTCCAATGTTCATTAATATTTAAGGTTGCTTTCTAGTATTTTTATGATGAGTTTAACATCTCACAACTATTCAAAGTAAAAATAAGCAATTATTTTTATTGATATAATACTTTCGGTAACTTTATACTTAGATTATTTGTTATAATTATCACTTACATTTTTTAAATTAATGCTAAAGTCATTTAAAATTGACTTATGAGTTATTCATTACATCAGATTCATTACTCTTAAAAATGTATGATTTTAGCTAATGCGATTTATTTAATTAGAGATACTGTATTGCATATATTAAAATATATGTTTCAATTCTATTGTATGCTTTTTAAAATGTGTATATGTGTGAAGGCATTTTAGCAAGGTGGAAAAAAGTCTTTTGTAGGAGCCAGCAGAAACAATTTCAGTTCCTAGTTACTGACCAACCTTTATCTTCACTTTGTGTGAAACAGTAATATTTTTTGGTACTGTGTGTTAATACAAATATTCTGTTATATAATAAATATGTATTTTTCTGAAAAATTCAAGACTACATGTTATAGTAACATCAAATTATTCTTGATATTTGGTTTCTTTAGAATCATAGTATCTTCATTTTGCCTTTTATTTGGAAGAATGCAAGGCATAGCTTCCTTTTTCCTAGTTTGTGTATAGGATTTTTTATACTTCAGATAATTGTGTATATGGAGACAACAAGGAATAAAACAAAAATCGAGCTGAAATTTAATATTTGCACTATTGGTATAATGATGGGATATCTCCAGTCCATTCTATTACAATTTGAATGAAAAAAATGTAGAAATTGTTTAAGAAAGGCAGACACTGGGTCTCATTATTACCTTGTTGGCCTGTTGTTTTTCAGCTGTACCCTGGAGAATAAATTGTGCTATAGTCATATTCAGTGAAATCAAACCCTTTGCTAAGCGCCAGCTGTCACAAGTATTTGAGGTTTTCTAGGACCATACACTTAACAAACTCTGAGCCATAGAGCAAGAGCTAAAGGAGGAAGGGGAACTTGTGTATCTGCTGCCTTAACTCATTTTTCCTACAGTAATGTCTGTGTGTGTTTGGAGACAGTGCGATAGGAACTGGCTTCACCATCTGATTGCTGCCACTGTCCCATATGGATATTCTGAAGCCCAGAGCCAAGAATGATGAAATCATGTGCCAATGTTCACTGCCTGACCAATCTACACAGAATCGATCTTATTCTTTAAGAGACCGGGTTGATCTGAGCTTTCGTTCATTTGCCAGTATACTAAGGAAGCTTCACTTCAACAGAGAGCTCTGTGGAGAAGGGGGCAGCTCTCTCCACCACTTGGTTCTTCACTGTGTAGTGGGAGTTGGGAGGGGTGGGAAATAGGTGCCACATGTTTGACCCCAGTCACTCAGTAAAAACCTTCCACATCACAAAGCCGTGAAAAGTGTGTCTTCTAATGTTCATGAGCTGCTGAAACTATACAAAATAGCTATTTCACCCAGAGATCTGGGGTTAATTCATACTACTAACCAGCCAATGACCCCACTGGGTCAGCTCCTACACAAAACAGAGTGGTGGGGGTCATGGGCACAATCTCTAGCTCACATGTCATAGCCTCCCACTTTTCTTACCAAATTTTCATAATTTTGTTGAACAAAATGCTTCTCAATTTATGTAAGTCCTTGATCCATCTGTAGAAATTTGAATACTTGTCTTTTTTAATTTTGTCAGCTTAATCAATGTCTCTAGGAGAGAGGCTTCTCCAAGTTCCCCACAGCTGAATTTTGGAAAACTCATCTGGTATATGCACTGATTCTCAAGCTTTAAAGTATATTAAAATGTATTTATTGAAGGTGCTTATTGAATATGAAAATGAGTAATCCCTTTCTCAGAACTTTAGTATTAAATAAAATCTCTGATGGTGAGTTTTAGGGATCTGCATTTTTAATAATCTCTCCAATTGATTCTGATACAAAAGTAAGTTTGAGAAGGTGTAACTGCATGTATCACTGGATAATCCAACATGTGAGCAGTTTCATCTCACCTAGATCATGCTCATGGCTTAACATGGGTGGTTTCCCTTTCTCCAACTTCTATCAGGGTCCCTTGTAAATCCTCTTAAAAACTAAATGGTATTAAAATACTAGTAGATTTAGTTCTGAAAGTTATCTTCATTTCAAGATAATCTTGTAGTTGCCCAATAATTTTTAAACTAAACCAATTATCGTCATTCCCATTATATGATTTTTAAAAATATGTAAGAAAATATAAGATTTTGACTATCTTGAACAATCAACAGAATATATAACTATTGCCTAATCTTTTGTTTTCCTAAACTCCATATTAATCTTTAGCTTAAATCAAGTTTTTATTTCTTGACTTTAAATTTTTTGTTTAATGCATGCAATGTTCCAATGCCTCTTAATCATTTTTTTAAATTTTGCATACCATTATACAGAAAAAAGACAACTTACCCATCAATAAGTCAAAGCCCGTTGCTTCCTCATCACAATGCTCAAACCACTCTCTGTCTCTCAAGTTTTATAAAACAGAATTTCTTTTTCTTCTTGCTTTATGTAGAATGTCTCAGAACTTTCTGAAAGCTTAAGCAAGTGATTTTATGAGGTAGAGAATATAGTGAACCATGTTGCTGAAGTGCTCAATGAATCTTGAGGGGAAAGAAAAACAATAGCAACAATAGCGATGAAGCAGACAGATGCCATGAAATCATGACAATGGTGATGATGATGATGATGATGATGATGCTCCTTATGAGCTGGGTATGGTGATCTAGAAGTGGGTTTATGTAAAAACAGAAGACAGTAAGTGCATCCAACAGCAGAGATTTGAAAACTAGAAATGGATAATAAAAGGATACAGGAAATCAGCCTATTTAGTGAACAAGCATTTTCCAGTTATGGCATGGAAGTGAAAAACAGAGGTTAAGGAGGAGGAATACTTTTTAATCACTGAATGGGAGAGCCAGAGGTTATATGGAAGGCCTGAATAGAGGAGAAAGGACTTGCTGTAGCTGAGGGGAAAAACAGAGCTGAATAAGGACAAAAGACACCTAAATGTATTCGGCCAACCTCAAAAATGTAATGAATACTAAATGATACTGGAGCACAGAATGTACTTCCATAATTGTATATCATCTCTACTGATGAACAAATCTGCAGTAATGTTTGAGAAAATAACATTGGGGATCTGAGGGGATAGGGAAGGGTAATATTTTTCTAAGTCTTAATGTGTATATGTAAAATCTACCAGTCTTAAATGAAAATACAAAGATGTAGCCATCAAAATCTTAATATAAAGTATTTTCTTATATTTTTAGCATATTAAAAAAGGAAAAATATGCAGTAAATTTGACATATATATTTATATCAAAATAATTACTAAATGAATTTAATTATACCTCAATATTGTATGTAACTTCATCATTATGAATGTTTGAAATGCTAACTAATGTTTAGTTAACAAACATTAAACTAATGTTTAACATTAACTAATGTTTGACATAACATAACATTATGTTTAACATAACATAACATAACATTAAACTAATGTTTAACATAAACTAATGTGTAACATTAAATTAAACTAATGTTAACTAAAACTAATGTTTTAGTTAAAATCATTGTAATCTATTTTCTGATTCCATTTTATTTACTGACAAATTTTGGAGGCAAGCAGGAAAAGTAAAAACTCAAACACAATCAATTACTGACTGCTGTACTTACAAATATAATTTTGGGCATTTAAGTGAAATACGTTAACAGAATAGCATGGCACAGAAATACATTACGAACAAAAATCTATGAACACATGATAACACTATCAATTTGTGCAGTGTTAACTAACATATAAAAGTTAGTTTTAGTTGGCCAATATATTGAAGATGATTTTTTTATGTTCTCTAGAAAAATCATGATGTATTTTAGAATAGCGAGACTTAGTGAATGAACACATGATCATAATATAGTGTTTTCTGCAGAATGCAGTGTGTATTAATTATTTATGATGCAATAGAATTACAACAAATAGAACACTGAAAATAATCACAGTACAGATGGGACAAATCTTAAAAATAATGAAATCTTAAATCAAATAATTTCCTTTTATTTCAAATTCAATTCAATGTTATTCACACTGAAGTAAACTCTGGCCCTAAAAAATTGTCCTGATTATTCTTTTAGAGATTTAACAAAAAAAGGGTCATTAACATTTCTATAAACACTTTCCTATCTCAGTTATATTTTTCTGCTTGAACAATTGGGTATCTGTATAATTAAAGTAAAATGATAAATTTAGTGTTACAAACCAAATTATAAAGAAATTTTATACCAATAGGTAGACACAAAGGAATAATAAGGTCTATTAAAATAAACCCAACTAAAATATATACTTTCATATTTCTTTAACTAAAAAAATAGCAGAAAAGTGTCATAACATTTCTTGAGAATACTATATTAAATCCTCTAGTAACTTACTTTAACTTTGTAACGCTAATTAATTCCTTTGGGGAAGTGATATATGTACCCTTTGCCCACTTCTGCTATTTTACATTTTCTTACTAATTTTACTCAATAGAATTAAGTTTACGAATAATAGAAGAATATTTAGTAAAGCAAATAAGACATTTGCACAGAACTGCAATAGCTTATTTACATATATGTCTTTTTCCCATTTTTCTGGCAAAACCTTAAAGATGGAAAATCATAGTTATCCATCTTTGTATTCTCAATATGTGGTACAGTTTTGGCTTAGCAGAAAAATTCTAAAAATATTTGTGACATGAATAAACTAATAATAATGGAAAATAACATAAAAATAAACTCATGATCTGGTATTTTTTAAATAAAAACATCTTAATAAAACTTGTTTCACTTAACGATTATACTGGTGTCCATGTAAAAGTAATTTTATAAGAATCTAAAGTGCTTTCTGCCTTGTTCAAAATAAATTATCATCCAACTTCCTACCCAAAATAAATAATGTCAAGTGTTAACCTTCTCAAAGATGCCTTGTGTTTTAAAAAAGCATAACTACATGCGCACACTATCTGAAAATGTTCCCATTATATGCAAGTCATAACCTTAATTTTAACCATAACCTAAATTCCCTTTTTTGTAATTCACATTTATTTCATAACATAATATAATCACAAGTTCTAGAAATTAGAAAATGGAGATTTTTTTTCCCCTCTTCCTTTTATTTATTTACTTATTTATTGAGGAAGAGTATAGTAAGGGAATGTCACTATTTTGCTTACCACAGTATCATATTCCTTGTAGTAATTCTAGTTCTAAACTAAACTTTGAAACAAAAAGGGGATTCGTTTTTGATATTTTTTATAAATTTGAAATAAAGTATATTGTGACTATGAACATGTTCTCAAGTGTTGCCAAAGTGTTTATTAAAAAGTTAATATCCTCTTTTAGTTGATTATCTAAAAGAATAATCAGGACCACATTATGTCAAAAGTCTAAATTGAAATGCCAGCTAACACATTTTTGAAAATGCTATTTTCCTTTGGGGAAGCTCATCAATCTCAGATACTCAATATTTACAATAAGTGTGAAATTATTTTCTTTTCCAATAAAACCCAGTAGATCAAATTTGTTGGACTTCATAGAATTCTCAATATTTATACCTAATATTTGCCTAATATGAAAATTAAATATTTGCCTAATGTAAAAATTAAAATGATAAGTCAGAGATATTCTTTTAGATAAGTCACAATAATAACTATAAATTTATAATTATAGTAACAGAAAATAGCTTATATTACTAAAAAAAAAACCCTGAGAATAAAACCACAGAGAAGATACTATGTTAAAAAGAATTCTAAGTGACTCCTCAGCTTTGCAAATAGTAAACTACATGAATTAGTTTATAATTTTATCATAATTAATATAATCTATCTTATTTTGAGAAAAAAATGACCATTAAGGTACTGGCAGTAAAAATTGTAAAATTGATTATGGCCTAACACAATGGTTCTCAATCAAAACCAAGTGCATCACCTGGGAACTTCTTAAATATTGCTCAAGCTCCACTCCAGACCTAGGGATTCAGAAATTCTGGGTGTAGGTCCCAGCAACCTGAGTTTAAAAGCTGTCAAGGTGATACAATGTAACTCTCAAGTTTGAGAACCACTGGCCTAAGGCCACGGAAATAATTTCTGACCTGATATATCCTAAGGCACAAGAAACAGGTTTCCTTGTACACACTTTTTCCTTTTGGTTTAATTTGTCATGAAAGTTTTCACATATATACAAATGTTTAAGAAATACTATAAGGAACTTTTATCTACCAATCACCCAGTTTCAACTTATCAACACATGAGCAATTTTATTTTATCTGTTTCATCCTCACCTCTACTTTTTTTTATTACCACATTAGTAGATTATTTTAAAATAATTCCCTGACATGGCATCATGTCAAAGGAACATTTCAAAAAGATAAGAACTCTTAAAAAACACTGTTAGTACAATTTCAACAACTTTATAGTGCTTTATAAGAAGGGTTAATAGCATCTACTCTGTGAACATGTTGCAGTTCTCTCCACTAAGGGAAGAGACAGTCACTGCCCATTTCATTAATGGCTCCATCTTCATCATAGAATTCCCTCACAATCTGCTTCAGACACTCAGCCCTTCAGGAGGCTAGAAGCTGGCTCAGATGAAAAATGCCATTTGTAATTCATTGATCTCATTTGGGTGTGATGTGAATTCTCCTCCTCAGACTTGCGCATTGGTAGGTTCTTTCATAGAAAAGAGCCCCTGTTATCTAATGTTCTCTTAGTCTGACACAGCACAACAAGAAGTGGAGACATTAGTCCAATGCTCTACAGGAGGGGATGACAAAGAATCAATAAAACAGTTAGTCTTTGGAAAAGCCAGAGTAATGCTTACCATCATTATTAAGAGCAAATTATGTTCCTGGAGATATGTATTAATTAGTGCTGGAAAAATGTTTTGTCTTAATGTTTACAACAAGCCTTAGAAGTAGCTACTATATTTGTGTTAGACATGTAAAAACTAATGATTAGAGAGATTTCATTTCATAATCTGTGGTTAAACTCCTGCACTATCTCTCAGTATATTTGAATATGATCTTCAAATGCCCTCTTTCATCTACATCAAAACATTTTCCAAAACAAAAATGTTTCTCCTAATGCCTTTAGAAGGCAGCAGGATGGCTGCATGCTGGCTTTGGGATATATGGGGCAGTGCTGAGTGAAGGATGGGGAAAAAAGCATAAAATGAAATCCACCAAAAACACTTCAAGAATCTGGAACCAAAGAAGGCTCAGACAAGAGCAGCATATGGGTAGTAGTAAAAGCAGAGTAGTAAAAGCAGAGAGTGAGCATCTGCCAAAGAACAATACAAAGATGTGAGATGCAAAGAGCCATCAAGTCAAAAAATATCCAGGGCAACAAATTGAAATTCAAGGAGGAAATTAAAGTAGCACAAATTTGCCATGTTGGCGAAGTTTATGGACAGCAGGTTGTAGACAACTAGAGTAGTACAGCTATTTTGTGATAAACATTGCAGAGATAATAAAGTGATAGTCTAGAGCTGTCAAAAACATGACTTTATTTTAAATAGAGCCTCAGTTTGCAGTTCATAAACACTTTGGTTCTTACTTCTTGTTTATTCTAAGCTACATTCTGTCTCTTGACTAAAATATACATAGAAGGTAGAATATTGTCTTGATAATTCTCTAGTTAAAACCTTTTTGTACAGTTATCCATTTTAGTATTCTTCAATTTTTTTTCATTCCAGGTACTTAGCTCCTTAGCTAATTCATTCATAGTCTCCCTCAGTACCAGCCACTTTGTTCTTGTCCCTTCTCCCATGCTGATCCTTCCTCAAGGCACCATCCCTAATCACTCTCTACACAAAAGGAAAAAAAAAAAAGAAAGAAAATTATCTGAGCAGCAATTATAATAAAATGGCAAAAGCAAGAAAATTTCAGTAAAGACAAAACATTTGATTTGGTTCCTCTTTCTATACATTTTTTGTGCAGACCCTTTGCAAGATTATTCCCTCTAAAGTTTAACCGAAATACATGAGTATTTAGCCACAGTTAAACTGATGGGGGAGATACAGTATTGTAGTGTAATGCAGTAGGAATAAGAAATAGGAGGTATTTGCTCTTATTATTTAAGATACTCTAGCCAGATATATAGAATTCTTAATTTCATATATTCCATATACTAATAGTTATTGCATTTTGTATTTTAAAAGCATCTGTTATCATAAAACTTAAGATATATTCCACATATCTCTAGAATATACAAGTACTCATTACAATACACAAAAAATATTTTATAGTTTTCTTTCAATCAATACCATGACCCCATCTTAGCCAGATAAAAAGCAATATAGTATTTTCACTTAGAGGCTATTTGATGGATTTTATATATGTGCGTGTGTGTGTATATATATATGTTATATATATATATATCAAAGCAAAATGTATTTAATGTATTAAATGTATTTAATCCTTTATTTAATTCACAGGGACCTTCATTCTCATGGATAGTCTTCATTCTCTGCTGCACCAATACATATGAGTTTTTATTAGACTGGGAGGAAATGTTTCCTATTCAAACACACTTAATTTTTCTATAGCCATGCAAGCAAGAGAAAAATAATAAACAATCTAATGATATCTAAAGATAGGTATAATTTCAGCCTCAAGAGAGAAAAGATTTTATAAATTTGTATACTTTATTAAACCTCATTGATTTACTGAGTATCAGAGCATAGATCTAGTCTTCTTTATTTAATCCTAAAACTATGCACCTAGAACTATAAAAAATAGCAGAGTAAATGCTCAGCAAATATTTCTTGAATGATTGAATTAGCCCTTGCAGGAGTTTATAACATCTCTTAAAATCAATAGATTGAATCAGTAGTTTGTCTTCCTTATAGTTAAAATTTATATCTCACACTGGCTTACTATTATTGAAAAAAGTTTAATCAAAAGACATGAAATTAAACATCAGGTAGGAGTGCATGTCTTTTGACATTATGACATGCTATTTGTCTTTAAAAACATCCAATATTCATACATATGATTAAATATAAAAAGTGTTTTAATATTTTAATGTTAATATCTATATTTTCTCATATAATGAATCTACTCAGTCCATTGTCCACAGACATGATTTCTTACCTCTGGCTCTCTTTGTAGGAAAAATGTGTGGTTAGATGTTCTGTGTCTGCCCATTGAAAGCATTTTTCTTCACCAGCAGCCTTCTTTCAGGGCAGTGTCTGAGTGGAGCTGTAGTACACCAGTTGTCCATTATTTAATAGTGCCAGCATTTATGTAGAGTACGCACAAGAATCTGTAAATCAGGACTAAAGATTTGCTTTCTTGGTCATCTGGCCATAGAGGCTGTAAATGTGGGTTGAGGGAAAAGGGGCAATGTAATAGAAGTGCCAGTCAGGAGAATCTGAGCCTCTTGATAATGGAACTTACTTATGCCTTCAGGAATTAGTTGAGGTCGATCTTGTACACATCACTATTATGTAGTGATGGAGTGCTGTTACTACTGTGCACACTGACTTTATAGGGTAATGGATTAAGAAACCCCAGTTCATAATGGGAAGCTCAGGTCACATGATAACTTGGTGTGCAATGATTAAGTATGTAGTTTCTACTAGAGCCTAGGAGTAAACTAGATGCATTTTCTAAAAATGAGATACTTATTGACTTAGCTTTCTCCCCAAATTAAACATTTCCACTGTATTTTACCATAAAGGTTTGCCCAAGCTCCTATAGTATTGCTATCTGCTACAGGTTTATATCAACCACCTTATTTTTTCATAGAATCCCAGGGCTAGAGCAGCTTCTACAGCAGATCAGAATTGTTATAGAGTCTTCTTTTGTTCATGGCACCAATCACAACTTGTAACTTTTAGGATAGTCAGTAAGTAGTTTAAATTAATGCCCATATTAAGTGCATCATGACTCCCACATTCAAAGGTCCATTTATCAATGTGTTTCTTTCTTGTTGTAGAGAAGGGCCAGATGCAGCAACTTATTTGTTACCTTAAAAGAAATATTTTGATAGACTTCTGGAAATTTTACTGAACTTGGCAGTCCCTGTATTTTTGTATGATTTATTTCCTATCTTCCAGAATGCATGTGTCTTAAAAGATCCAAAGTACATAATATCATCGATATGATGGAGCAGCATGTTTTCTAGGTAATGTAGAGATGCTTAAGATTCATGGAGAACAGATTGTGACAGTGGAAGGAAGAGTTGATATATTCCTGAGGTAGGCTATTTATGATGCATTGCTGTTATTGAAAGCTGAAGCAACCTGCTTCTTATGGTCTTTATGAACAGACATACATTCAAAAGCATTCTCTAGATAATAACAGTGCACCGTTGTTAAAAGTTGTATTATATGCTTTAATAAAGATGTCACATTTCCATCAATAGGTGTAATATAAATCACCAGTTATTTAAGATAATGACATTTAACTTTTATTCTCCAAAATCCTCCAGTCCATGCACAGGCCAAATCAGTGGGGTTAACTGAGAAGGGATAGAAAATATTATTGCATCCTGCAAGTCCTTGATGGGCACCAATGCTTGCAATCCATCCAGGAATTAGGTATTGCTTTTGGCTTTATATTTTAGTAGATAGAGGTATTTCTAGGGACATCTATTTGAACTTTACTAATACAAATGTCCTCCCTGCAAAGATCAGGAGAAAAGAGTTTCACTTATATATATATATCTTACTGTTGTACCACAGTGGTGTTCTGAGGCTACAGGAATTCATTTCAGTTCAGAGCCAATTTCTAGTATGTTTAGTTCAATGAATTCGTACTCTTAAATCAGTTTTTCAGTAATGTATGTGTGTATGTAACACAAATAATGAAATAATACAAATTAGAATACAATAATCATTTTCAAATACACATTCCTTGTCATCATCTAATAATACTTCCTGAGGATATTTTTTTTCTTTTGGGATTCTCTACTTGAATGATTTTATCCATGTTATTTCTTATAAATGTAACCAACAAGAGTTTGTTTAAAATAGTAGCCTAACTTGACAATTATTAGGATTATCTAAATAGTTTACTAGGTATTTATGTTATACATTCATGCCAAAGGTAATGCTCAGTATTAGTTGTGTGCCTAATTTTTTCCTATAAGTTCTATTACTTTTAGGGCTCATAATATGCACCAAGCAAAAGAGATCACCAACCTCACTGCAGATATAAGCAGGACTCATAATGTAGGTCTGGAATTAGTAAGCAACTTACTGTAAAATATAAATTAATCATTGCCTCTTTCATTCCAAAACTCTTACTATTAAAAATATAACATAACCTGAAAGAAGCAGGTACTTACAGAGATAGCTGATTTACATTCTGGAACATTTTCCTAATCTCAGTGAGAACCGTAATTTGAATGCCCATGGTTTAGTATACAAATAATATTCCAGCTGTTGCTGTCAAATTTCTAGCGTCCTATGTAATTATAATGTATGGCATTATCCAGCTTCAAGGTATTTGGCCATATCATTTACTCTGCCTGTCTGTAACTTCTACCCAATTCCACTGGGTAGTAAACTCCTCTCATCTTTTAAGACCCACTTTTTTAAGGAACCCTCTTACAACTTCAGAGATGAAGTCATGACCCTACTATCTTATGAAATCTCTTATCATTCAGGAGCTTTCTTATAACCACTTATCAAAGTTTATAAATATACATTATTTGTGTAATTATGTAATTGATGGTTTAATTGTTGATTATTATCAAATGTTCAAAAATAATAATCACTGTTTATTGAATAACTATACTATGTTGACATTGTGATCAAATAGTTCATGTGTATGTATGCATACTGTCATTCTCTTTGTATATATATAACATATATATTCACATATACATATATGTGTATATGTCAGTACTACAAGTATAGTCCTACACAAGAGAATTTAATAATTCTCTACACTAATATATTGGAGGACTTTAAATCCTCTAAAAGCCACAAGGTAACATCAGTAAATAAAAAATAATGAGCATTTACTAAAATTTAATGTACAGTAAAAATAAAAAAATAAGATTAATAGAGATCTGTCTTTTCTTTTATAAGTCATAAAAATATAAAAACAAAAATTTATATAAAACGTCAAATTAAGAGTGAAATGTGATAAACATTTCTAGTAAAGTCAGAAACAAGCAAAACACCCCTTATGAATTACATTATTCATCATCATTTATGAACTCTGAGCCAACATACAAGTTAAAATAAAACAGATAAGGTAGGAGAAGAAGTTGAATAGCAAGTGAAAAATCTAAAGAATCAACTGAATAATTAAAAGTCAACTGACAAATATATGATTTATTTAACAAATTAAAAGCTTCCTTATATATCAGTATTAATCTATGAGGTACATTTATAAGAAGAATAATTAGAAAAATTATCAACAATAAAATAAATCTAGCAAAATATATGAAAATATTTAGAATATCGTAATAGCTGATCATTATTTTGAGCTTATTTTATAAAATGCAGTGCTCTGTATTCTTTGCATAACTTATTTAACCCCTACTAAAACCCTATGCATCAGAAAAAGAGGATTGTTTAAATTAATAGTTGCTCAAAGTCATAGGATTCATAATAAAAGGGTGACTTTTGGGTTCACTTATTTTTAAAACAATTATGCCATGTTGCTTTGCTACATGGGAGACATAAAAGTTATATCAAATAAGCACAGAGATTGAACTTGATTTATTTTGGAAGATTCAATACTGTAACGATGTCAGTTCATAGCAAATCAATTTAAGAATTCAATACAATCTCACACAAAATCTTATCAGAATTTTTATTTTAAAACTACAGATCTTTTTCTAAAAATGTATACATAACAAGATATGTGAAAATGTCACTAACAAAATGTTGAAAAACATAAATTTGGGTTATATTCCTTAGAATACCCAAATTTATTTTAAAGTTAGGTAATCACAATGATAGGATGTCAGACAGGAGTAAAAGGTAGAAAAAGGACAATAAATAGAAAGTCTAAAGTCTAGAAAGAGCCTTGTAATTATATAGTGAAATATATGAAATGTAGATGATATTTAAATTAATTACGAGAAGCATTGACTATTTAATAAATTATATAGGGAAAGTCTGATTTTTCATTTGTAAAAAAGCTAGATTTTTTTTCTTATTTCACATATCCATACAAACACATTTAAAATTATTAAAGGCCAAAATATAAAAATAAAATAAAACAAAAACTTTAAAACTATAGTAGCTTCAGAAAAATATAAATTAAATATGATTTGTCCTTGGTGTAAAGAAGTCTTAAAAAATACTCAGAAAACAAATGTCTTAAATGATGTTTGGTAAATTTCAACACCTTGAATTTTAACATTCTTTCTGTATACAGACCCCATATACATAGGTCAAGAGTGCAAGAGACAGAAAAAACAGTTTATAATATGTAAATGTTATTTGATATTCAAAAGTGATATTGGATTTCCATAAAGTGAGAATAGAGTGATAAAAAATTAGACAGTATGTAAATAGTATTTTCCCAGAATAATAAAGCATTATTCATTTGAAAAGATAACTGACCTAACCATTACTAGAAAATGTGAATAATAATAATAATAATATCTCAGTTCTGAAACATTAAATTGAAAGATATGAAACAGAAAGATATAGAACAAAGGGAGACTAGTAGTCTTAGATAACTGTTGAGTTTGTACGCTGAAATACCAACATGGCAGAGTACATTGAGAGCATCTATTGAGTATCAGCAGCACATAACCCAGAAATTCCATTTCTTTTACATATGGTAGAGACTGAGTCAAATATAGTAATAAGGAGGAGGTTTATTGAAGATTTTCTTTGTACTGACCAAAAAGAGAAAAAAGAATAATAAAAAGCATTGACAAAAGGGAATACATAAATAAATTAAGGGTTCTTAATGCAATATCTACTAGGATGCAATGGAATGGAATGAAAAATATCATTGATATGGGCTGATACTGTGAATTACTCAGAAGTACTATAAATAAAAAGGTTTATTTTTTAAGAGTTAAAATGAAGAATACATTGAAAACCTACTATCACTAAACAATAGCATATCTAAAGTTACATATACATGTAAATGTGTAGAAAAATTCTGGGAAAAAACAAAACAAAATTGTAACAATAGTTATCTCTGTGGAGCATACTCTCTGGGAAAATATATAGGAAATATTTATTTCCTTCATTTAAATTTAAAAATACAAAATATATGTTACTATGTAGCTTTTATAAATTAAACAATTAAAAATACCTCCAATGTATAAAGTAAGCCTTTTATTTTCTTATGTGATTTAATGTCACAAGAAAAAATATTTACCCGTCTATGAAGACAATTTTGAAAAATGTTTTTTATGTTAATTAGCTTTGTTTAATCATTCCACATTTTATACATATATCATAACATCACTTAGTACTCTATAAATAGATACAATTATAATTTGCCAATTTACAATAAACTTTTTAAATTTAAAAATGACAATAATAAGTTTACAAACATGTTTATATAAGAAATTTCAAAGATTGACTAAAATAATACACCAAATTAACCTTAAAACAAGAGAAAATATTATAGAAACCCTAGCCAAGCAAAAGAAAATCAAAGAAAGATCACCCCAGCCTTTAATTCACTATCCCCAAGCCTTCATTTACAAATACTTTTATAGCAACTTCATTCTAATATTTAAGTAATGGAAAAGATTTCTGCTATGTGACTCCTCAAAATTACTTTGAAAAGTAATGTCAATATCTAAAATGTACAAGAAAGGCTGGGCCCAGTGGTTCACACCTGTAATCCTAGCATTCTGGGAGGCCAAGGTGAGAGGATTGCTTGAGGTCAGGAGTTCAAGACCAGCCTGAGCAAGAGTGAGACCCCATACCTACTAAAAATAGAAAAATTACTGGGCATGGTGGCACGTGCCTGGATTCTCAGCTAGAGGATTTTTGAGCCCAGGAGTTTGAGGTTGCTGTCAGCTAGGCTGATGCCACGGCACTCTAGCCTGGGCAACAGAGTGAGAATCTATCTCAAAAAAATAAATAAATAAATAAAAAATAAAAAGTGAATAAGAATAACATAATAAAATGTATAAATTAGCCCTTCTTATTAAACTATATGCAAAATGTATTGTTAAGCCTAGATAAATATATATTTCAAAAATAATCTACATGACAAGTGGGATGTATTCCAGGAATGGAAAGATGTTTTATACTCTTAG